CTGGTACATCAGGAGCAGTGTAATGAGCTCTGGTAGTCGCATGGGACAGACTGTGTGCTTGGATAACACTTAATGCATGCTTTGCCATCCCTGTAACTCTGCAGTCTTGTATAGAGCTATTACACTTAGAAAGGATATGTACCTGGTGAATCACACCTACTAAATCTGATTTACTTGTAGCAAAGCCTGAAACAAACAGCGCAACACATTTTTGTTTTTAAAGATATGCTGCTTCCTTTGCTGTTCTACACACAGGATAATGACAATGAAAATAACAGCAAAGGGTGCCAGAACAGCCTGAGGGGCATGACTTGCTGTAATAGCACCTGACCTCTATCTGTTGTCTGTCCTTCATAAGTTGCTTGTACAGAAGTGGAACCAATTCTCATTATTAAAACCAAAACCAATTCTGTAGTTGCTGAGTGATAGGCAGGGTATGTATTTTTCAAATCTATTCGTTTGCATCTACCACCTTCCTTCTGCTGCTGAAAAAAGGGCAAAAGGAAACATTTATTTGTTTAAAAATGTGTACCTTGCATTTCTCTTCTGATAACCCCCCAAAACAATGTTCCTATACTATTACCTATTACAGTGCATTGTTTGCTAGGGCTATGTTTTCTATCATGGGATTCAAATTGCTTCTTGTGCCATCAGCATTTTCCTTTTTCACATTTCTTTCAGGGCAAAATGGATAATGTATTTCTCTGCAGTAGCAAGAGCGATCAGGGAAAACTTTATTTAGGGTGAAAGGGAAAATAGCAGGGCATGTACACTAAAAGTCTGTTTAGAAGATCAGAAACCGACATATTTGCAAGACAGCAACACACCTGCTTTAAATGAAACTCAAAGATATAGGAACATCGCATGTAATGAGCACTAACCTACCTATTTGCCTTGTAGCTGGAATGCAAAGATTTAATAATAAGGAATTGAAATGAAGGGCAGTATTTATGAAAGTCTATTTATTTTGCAGAGAAGCAGTGCAAAGCAGTGACACTCTTGTAACAGTAAAATTTGAAGCGCCTTTAAAAGTAAACAAGTGTATTTCGATTCAGTGTTATTGCATGGGAGACTGCATAAATAAAAATCCAAACAGCGCTTTCTTAATTCACACATACAGTTACATTTAATGGCAATAGGACTTCCAGCATGAGTAAAACCAGCAGGGTTTGGCCCATAACAATTATTCTTGTTTGCAGTCTGCCTGTTTTCTAAAGGTTAGCACTAAGATTTCATGTACTTTCTTCCATAGCAGTGCCTCTGATTTAAGGAGCTGCTGGCTTCTGCCCTCCAGCTCCTCATTCCCCCTTCAAAGCACTTCTTCAGCTGCGCCAGCATGAGTGTTAGTTGAGCCATTTGGCTAACCAAATGTGGGGAAAAATACGGGCAGCGCTCCATGCCTGATCCACAATGGCAATTTAGAAGCAGAGAAGTGAAGATCTGGGAAATGTAACGAGTGTACCTCATCCAAAGAGAAATGAAAGTGGTCATCGGGGAATATAGATACAGAAGCAGAACCCGTTTTTAAGTGCCAAACCTCTGCTTTAGTATGGTAAATCATGTAGTGATATGTAAAGTGGTCACAGAGAAAGGACTATTAAAGCTGATTACCTAGTTTAAAAAGCAATGCTAACATGTGCATAATCCAGCATCTTCTGAATTTTAGATTGAGGCTGCTTGCGATAGTGTTGCACTTACAGAATTGAGCTATAACGGGAGCTGACAGTTATTTCAGACAACTTGAAGTTTCAAGTTTTCCCCCTTTTCCAGGTAACTAGAAATGATAGGGAGTTATGCCAATGAAGCAACAGGAAAGAAGCAGCATAAATTGCGATGCAATTAGCTTCTTTTACCTTTCTTCCCTGAATAGGCATGTTAATGGATACCATTCATACTGTGTCATTCACAGACAGCGATACAGTGCTCCGTTATGAAATCATTCAGATTGTGCTTAACTGTAAAAATGGGGATACTTTAAGTGCTGCAACTGCTGAGCCCTCTTGCACTTAGACTGTAGGACGTGCTCGATATTTTGCTGGATCAGGGCTAGAATACCGAGCCTTCCTTTGTAGGAATGAATGTAAGCTGATCTGCTGCTTATGAGAAGGTATAATGGAAATTTCATTTTTCCTTTCTTTTGAAGTTCTGTTAGCAGTGTATTCTTCCTGGCCCCTGCAGGAATGTATCTAGATAATGTTTCATTATTACTGCAGCAAATGAGCTGTAAAGTAAATGAACTAATTAGTCTTTGAATCATTAGGTTGGGTGTAGCTATTCAGATGGAATTGTAAGCTGGTGTGCAGGGATGCATTTATTAGATTGTCTGTGATTCTGAGAAGTAAATAGAGCCCTTTTGCGTGTTTTCGTGGTTTCTTTTGCCTTACATGGCTGTTTTGACTTGTTCTGCTGCCCAATATCAAGAGGAGAATCCTTATTTTTTGTTTTTATTTCCATAATTACCTTTTTTGACCTGGGAAGATTGGAAAAGAAGGCTGGAAATGCAGGATGCAGATTTGGCTTCAGTCTTTGCCTTGATGATTTTAGGTGCAGTATTTGCATTTTGCTTCAGATTACGATTTATGCAGATGAAGAACGGCCTTTTTTTTTTTTATTTTTTGCCCTTTACTACTCTCTTTGACTGTAAGATGCTTCATGGACATGTCTTAGTGTCCAGAAGGTCTTGTGTAACTTAGGACTGATACTAACAACCTCACAGGTGTGCTGACATAAGTATATTGTCTCTGGAGCGTTCACACTACGCACCACCATTTCATGAAGGTACTGTCCTGATTTGAGTACCTCAGAAGTCTTAAAGAGAGTGTCAGAGCACTTACTGTTGAGGTGGCTTTCAAATAAGAATGAAGCAATGGATGTATAAAAACATGAACTCCTGTGCAACTGAAGCTGAAGTGTCTGAAATTCACATTGTATAAAATGTTTGAGGACACTACAAGGAAGGCAAATGCTCTGTAGTAGGTCAAGGAGGGAAGAAAATAGGGAACTGTGAGCTGAAATCCTGTAAGTTGATAATTCCAGAACTGTGTGGCTATTTTCAAATGAATTGCCATATGACAAGAAAATACTGTGAGCTCTTCCAATAGAAGACCTTACTGAAACTGAAGTGAAGACGTACTCCTGTCTGTCATATTATCTCTAGACTCGGTTAATCGTCTCTAGAAGAATTCTACAGGCACAGAACAGTTCTCCAGGAAGCAGCCTGGCAAAGGAGCCAGCCTTTACTTGCAGCTGTATGTGTGCTGTGCAGTTAGAGGAACTCAGTTTCTCATCTCAGCAAGAAACTGCCAAAGATTAAATAAACAATCATGGAAAGCATAATTCCTTTACCAGAGAACTTCCTCTTGGTACAAAAGCACTGCAGGGATTCCTATGCCACTGTTTCACCTTATCTTATCTATTAGTATGTTTGCTTGGATCTTATCTATACCTTGACAGTTCTCCAGCAAAGCTGTGGGCTACCAGAGGTAATACAGAGTGACATTAGGAATGATCTAGTCTAATCTGCCTGGGAAGCAGAGCTGGCTCAGATGCAATGCTAATGTAGAACAACATTAGGAATGATTTGATTTATTGGCCCAGACCTAGCATCATGGTTGGCTTAATGGCAGAGATGTCTCATCTGCCACTAGTGCTGCTGAGCACCATGGCATTGCATGGAGCCTTAGGAGTGCTGGTTTCCCCACGCACAGGATAGGTGTATGATGAGTCTATTACCATTTATCGTGTAAATATACATTTAGGGACCTCATAAAGCTGCTGAATTCTTGAATCTGCAGGCTAACTGCTCCTTGATAGTAGGGATGGCTTAGTTAAAAGGATTGTCTAAAGTGCATGTCATTAACTTGATGGACTAGAAGAGTTCCAAAGGTTTATCATAGCTGTGCAAGTGCTGAACTGAGTGTGAGGATGATTCTAGTGGCTGGAGCAGAAGAATAGGAGGTTGGAAATGTCATGGAGTCTTTCAGTAGAATGTTTTGAGTCTCTCCTAACCTCAGTTCTGACCCTTCCTACAGAAGTATTTGAAGAGAAAAATAAATGTCAGCAAAGACATTTAGAATCTAGGATTTTAGGTGCCTCAGAAAAGCAATGCATTTTATAAGTTTTTACTCAAAATGTCTCCATTCTGGAAATAACAGTTATTAATTCTTTCAGTCAAACTACTCAAAGCTTTTAGTTCTTGTGTAAACTGGTAGTCAAAAGCCTGGGTGAGTAAAATAAAAAGAATAACCAAGCAACATTTTATTATGTGAGCGCCAGAAATGATGCCACCAAAATTGCGCTTTCGGAGAAGACGTACGGCAGTTAACTCCCTCATTACACAGATACTGTCTCCATTTAAAGAAACAACCTTCAAAATAAAAAAATAGCAGCTCAAGTTTGGAATCCAAATTTTAGCCCTTTGTGAACCCGAGTTCTTCCCTCAGAATGAACTTGTAGCTTTTTAGGAAAAGGTGCTTTGGAAGGGACCTGTGAGGGTCCCCTGGCCCAGTCTGCTTCTCCAAGCAGGGTGAACTTTGTTCAGATAAGGTGTTGCAGAGGATTTGGTCCTGTCTTCAGGACTTGTATCTCTGCTTATTAACATTATTTTTAAAGCATACGTGCTTCAGAGGGATCTGATTCATGCCTTCTGAGTGCAAGTTTTAAAGCTTAGGAGTTAGAGATCAGTGAGCAAATGTTGATTGAAAGAAGCTAGAAGACAAAAGTGGCCTCTCTTTCCAGGCGGGAGATGCAAGCTCTCTGTACACCTGTGAATATTTTCTGTCTTTTGGTATGTAAACAGTCCAAAAAAAATTACCTAAGCAACTTTTCCCTCTCTTTGATTTTGTTTTCAAGCTGAACTTTAAGGTGGATTATGGTTTTTATGAGTGTTATACATAAAAATTTTTTGAAGTTTGGGTAAAGAATGGAAGAACAGACAGAGCTTTTGTTATAGTGATGCTAAGGATGTTGCTGCAGTAAATTAAGTACCTTTAATATTTTAGGATGGCATCTCTCAAGTCTCTTATGAAATTTCTTCTCGACTGCCTTCCTTGAGCTGGAAAAATGAAAAATGGATCTTCTAAACACAGTGCCTCTACTTCTTCAATAATGTATGTATATATATTTCAGGCTATGATTAAGTTATACAATATTTATATATCTAAATTCAATATCCATTTTTTTTTATACCACATATCAATTAAGAATTTCTGAATGGTGTTAATTTGTATATTTTTAAAATATTTTCATGTTAAGTGAAACTGCGCTTAATGTAAGCACTTAATATAAGAGCTCCAATTATAAAATAATGCTCCAGTAATCCTCAGATTTGCTCAGGGTTGTTTATCGCAAACAGGAAGCTGATATTTACAAAACTTCACTTATGCACACGGACACATCCATGAGGTTATGTATCAAATGATTTAAACTAACTAATAAGAAAATTGTGCATTGTTCACAAATAATTCAGATTGTGTAAATCAAGTAAATAATTCATTATGCACTGTTTGTCCAATTCTAAGCAAATTCCTATATGACAGGAAAATCAAGATAAAGAATATTTTTGAGTAGATGAGCACCACAAATCACCTTCACATTGCTCCAGCACAGCCACTCCTTCACCCATGCAGGGTGTTCAAAGAATCCTGTGATTTCCCTAACTTGCACTGTGTGCATAGTGTGTAAATGAGAGTGGAAACTGGAGGTCACCTGAAAACTCTAAGACAGCAAGTGCCTTAAAATCATTTCTTACAAGTATTAATTAACATGTGTAATGTGTTATTGTAAAGGGGTTTTGAAGAAGGAAATGTTTTAATGAACTGTGAAGCCAAGTAAATGACTTAAGTAGAAGGAGAGAGCAGAGATGAATGGGGGGGGGGGGGGGGGGGGACGGGGGGAAATAGAATTGAAGAAACAAAATGGATCAGGTATGTGTAAAATTATTCTGTCATACTGTGAGTAGTAAGAGAGCAAACCCCATGAGTACCACTTCTCACTGTTTTGAGAGAGGCACTCTTTCTTAGCTAGGAAATGCAGGCCATTATCTGTCACTGATATTAGAAACATAATGTGGGAGAAAAAAAATCATAAACTAAACTTGGGCTCCATTTTCCCTCCTCTCTTCACCTTGTAAGTGCAGGGAGAAAAACTTCAGACTGCTAAAAGATGCGTTCATCCATTTGTGTATTTGTATTAGCTAGCAAAAGTCAATGTGATTAATTTTGTCATAAAACATGCATGGATTTGTTTTCTGCTGCATAAAATCTAATTTTACATTGAATGTCTACTCTTAAACTAATGAAAAGTGATATTAATTACTGCATGTTGACCGTTATGCACATAATTTCAGGTAATACAAATGGTATATTGAAATTTGCCTCTTCTTACACTATCTCTAGTTATTCATAAGGCATTGATCAATCAATCTGAAAAAACTGGACACCCAACTGTAAGCAAGTTACTGGCTTACAGATGCACAACCATTGAAAATTAGATCTGAACTTTCACTCCTTAATATCAACTATGTTCCACTGCAAATGAATTTTCACTACAGCCATCCACAAAATAGCATTTCTATTTAATGAGGTGTCTGAAAAAAGACTTTAATTGTGCTGCAGAAATACAGATAAGAGCAGGACTTCATCTTCTCATGTGAGAGCTGTGAAATACACAGCTTTCAGCTGCCATGTAATTTACCAAGTCCATCCTTAAATTTCACTGCATAGAGACAACCACCAATGAATGTTTTGACTCTAAGCACCTTGATTGTTTAGCACGCAGAATTTTAGACAAGTCAGCTTTGGTTGTTTGATTTATACCTATGGCCTATCTCTAATTATTTTGACCTTATAATTTGCATAAATCCAATCTCTGCTGTTAGGCTTGGAAGACAGCAGAAATCCCATTATGCATTGTGATTCTCTAAAGGAATCAGAAGTGTGATACTGGGTGGGGTTTTTTTTTTTTTGTATGACCCTTTTCAACTTCTACTTCTGAATCATTCCAGTGAACTTTTGCACTCTTGAGAGATTTAAGGAAGAGATGAGCAATATGGCATTCAGCAGTTTATGGATGCTTTTTTGCCTACTTGTGACAAAAGGGATCGATGGCTGTCTGCCATGTTCATGATGTACCAGAGCTACCCAGCTCAGCAGGGAGATTTGGATTGCAGTTCTCAGGGAATTTGGGTATGAGTCATTGGGTGGCTTTGTTACATCAACTACCAAACTACTTAACTAGGATTTGAATCCTGTTTTGTATTCCAGACACTGAATCATGTGAACTGGGAGGTCTCTGAGAAGCTGGGTGCTCCTTTCCATGTAACTGGAGTGAGAATGTCCTGCACAAGTGGTGAAAAGATAGGAAATTGAAAAGTTCTACTTTGTGTTTGCCTGGCGCTTTGCCCTGGATGAGGACTGAGTCCATGGTGTGTTTTGTGGCTAGACTGCTTTTTGAAGTTCAGGCAGAACTTCAAGAGAGTGGATAACATATTAGTATGAATTTTACCAGTCTCTTTTCATGCACTTGTTAAAAACAAAAAAAAAAAAAAACCAAAAACAAAAAACCAACAAAACAACCCACAGTAGAAGTTGACTGATACAAATTCAAATGCAGCTTCATGATAAAACTGACCAAAAGATGTCTTAATGAGTGCATATAGCATCTTCTGTTTTCTTAGCATTTTGGGTATTTCATTCACGACTGGCTTTATTTCTTCTTATCCCTCTTGCCAACAGTCTGAATTGGATGTTTGAACATACTAACTGTGTAGTAAGACTAAAGTATCAACTGGTTCCTCATTTTTATGCGAACACACCAATCTGTGAACACAGTCAAGATCGTCATTGGAGTAATTGTACTGATGGCAGTAGACTTGCAGCTGTGATTAACTTAGTTTATTATTACTGAAGAAATTAATTCCATAAAAGGCATTTAAGTTCTCAGTCTTGCTGTTAGCTGGAAAGAGTCTTGACTTTCAAAGACAATTGGAACAGAGAGCCCAGTAGTCACTGTATTTGCTGTACTCTGCAGATCTCAGCTTTTGACCTTTATGGTAATGAGATGACCATTCCACATCATTGTAACCATATGTAGTGCACTATTCAAAATACTGGCTACATGTTAGACCTGTGGTGCCAGAGAATGTGCATGTGACAAAGAGGAAGGTGATTATGCAAAGCAGGAGTTACCTTCCCAGAACAAAGAAGTAGTGGGCATTTTCTGTTTATGGCACTTGGGAGGACTGTCAGGCTTCTCTGAGCAATTTGGATCAGACAGCAATGTGTTTGCAGCCACAGCTAAACACAGAACTCCTCTCCACTGCTGAATACGCAGTCTGTAATTGAGTAATTGCATGCAGGAATCCACAGTGAGGGTTTTATTAGTTTGCCTGGTGATCAAGTTTAAGGGTATAACTTTGAAAAACTTCCTGAAATGCACAGAACCAGTATTGGAATAAAGGCTACATTGCAATATCCTGACTATAACTCAGCACTTACTACTTTCTCCCTCTTGTTAAGGGCTCTGGCTTAAAGCATCTATTTCATTTCTAGTTCTGCTCTTTATGGTGGGAAGATAACTATGCACAGTGCTACCGTGATGAGCTGTGGCTTGTAAATTGACTGTCTTTGTAACAATGTTGCTTAGCATTTCTAGTTACTGTACGACTAATGAAAAGAGTTTATGCCTAAATTCATCCCAGGTGTAATTCCAGTAAAGGGAATGGAGCCAGGCATGCATTTAGTGCTGAGTGTTTTTCTTCCCTTCTCTCCATTACTCAAGCCTGTGAGGCCGCTGCAGAGAGGGGAATAAAAGATGGTGAGGAAGAAACAAGAATGAATGGACAGCTGTTGACTAATTCCACCAGTGCTAATATAGAGCTGTGCAAATGTACCAAAAGAAAAGCAGCACATCGTGAGGATTCCAGCTTTTATCTGAAGAACATCTCTTATCCATAAAGATCATGGAGAGCTTTACAGTTGTGGAAGTGTGAATAACACTGTTAAGTCCTTTCAGTCAGAGAGGTGAAAAGGCAGTCATTGGACTGGGAAAGGGTAATTGACTGATGGCTTCTGTGACCCTGCTACTCAAAGAGACAAGGACCTTGTCAGTCAGACAAAAATTACTACTTAGAAGCAGCACAGAAATCCAGTCATTTAGCTCCAGTTATCAGTGAGGTCTGTTCATTTTAACCCTTCATGCAATGCTTTAAAAATATAAGAAGAGGCAAATCTTTACAGCAGTTTAAAGACATTTATACCATGAATAAAAAATATGCTAGCTGCTGGTTCTTTTCCTTAGAAGCACAATTAGAGAACAGTGGGAGAGCAGGGAAGGTGGGGATCCTCGGAGAACTGTGCTCCTGCAAGGCTGATGATGCTCCATGGAGCCCTGGGCAGGTAGGGGGCATGGCATGTGGCTGGAGAAGTCTCAAGGTCACAGCTTAATTTATTTTTGCTTTTTCACTGAAATGTCAGAGAAAGCACTTGAGCCTTACTGTGACTGAGAGCAGATTTTGGCACCATCTTCCATTTGTGGCCTCCCTGTCGTAAGATTAAAGCCTTGCAGTCCAGCGGAGTTTGAGCGACCTGACAACTTGAGGTCAGAAAGGTTTTTTAATGTGAACTTCTAAGGCTTTCCTTGCTCCTAATCTTATGAATAGAAGTTGGAATTGTTCTTTGCATGTAAATGTACCTATCTTAAATCAAAGCCTGAATTTGACTTCTGGGAGACACCAAGAGAGATCTGTTCCGTTCCCTCTCTGCTGCTCAGTAGTTCTGAGTACACTGGCTTCTGGATTTTACCCAAAGAAGTGCTCAGAGGAAACCCAGAGAGGTTTTTGTTATTGTCATCAAATGGACTTGAAAGAAAACAATTTGCTGTGTTTTGAGACAAAACAAACACTTATTTTTCTTCCTTGAAGGTTGTTCAGAAAGGAGTGTGCGTTGATCCAATGATCCAACTGACTAGAGCTTTCCCTACATCTTTAGAGAAGTTGCTTTAAGCATTGAAGAGCCTCTATTTTTTTTTTTCCTGTTTAAAAGTTCATTTCTTTAAAGCATCAGCAGGTATTTAAATTGCAGCCTTCCCGTAAGGAGAACCATGCTTTGCTGGATTTGATTTATCTGTAGGTTATTTTGCCTCAGCAAGGTAAAAAGAAATAGATTATCTGGTAGTGGGCTATTGTAGTTGGAGCAAAGACATCTCTCCTGGTGAAAGGATTGAATGTGACCCATGATGCCTAAAAAAGAGCAGTGGTGGCTAGAGAGGCTGAGCTGGGTTACCACACAGCTGAATCAACTTAGGACAATATGAGTATGAACGCTTTCAGATTACTTGGCTTCAACTACAGATGGCTGTCAGTGAGTGCGACTCTGCAAACATGCCCATCTCTGCCATGGGAATGAGCATTTATTGTGGTGTGGGTAAATGTAGGCAGTTCAACAATGCCTTTTTTGCTGCTCTGAGGCAGATTTTTGTGGCTGCTGCCAGAGATCAGATAAAAGCTCTTTTCTGTGACTGAGCACATCAAGCCAGTTGACTTCTCTTTTGATTTATTTTTGGTATTTACAAATGCTGTAATGCTGCAGATATGATATTCTGAACTACATACTATAGTTTTGCCTGAAATGCGAGTACGGGTACTGTGTGGTCAGAAAGGTATTTCAGTTAAGTAAACAGATTATAATGAAGGGTAAAAGAAAAACAACGCCATGAGAGAAAGTTAGGAGATAAAAGCGAATGTTTGTATCACTTGTCTTTGCCTTTGCCTCATAATTAGCAGCTCATCATTTCTTGACCTTGCATAGAGTTTGTAGGAGACAGGTCAGGACTCAGTTTGGTATTGTTGCTATTGATTTTTATAGACCTGAAATCCCAAGGAGCTGATGTGTATAAAGATAATACCCAGTGCTGCTTGGTGTATAAATTTATGTATTTTTTTTTTCCTGAAGTGAAGCCGAATAAAGACTGTTTATTTTTCACACTCCTTAGATGAGCAACACAGTGATTGACTGTAGCTGTGAGATATGCATATCCTATTGAAGCAAATTGTGTGAAAAGAGTTGTATAATTCATTCACTGATGTGAACTAAGTTCATATAACACTGTCTCAATGACTGACTGATACTATTGCTTAGTAGATGTGACATTTAAAAGTTTAATCATGATCCTGCAGCATTCACTGGCTCATTCTAAATTGTAGAATAAGAAATGGGGCATTTGGCATGCTTTCAGACACGTTGCTATCTGCTGCGAAGTACTCAGTAATATAAGTGCGTGTATCAACCTTTTCATCTATTGATCTCAAAATGTTTTACTGAGTTAAGTAGGAATCATCACCCTTCCTATTTAAAAAAAAAAAAAGGATAGGCATGCAGAACCTTACCCAAGCCCTTTACAAAATCAGATTACTTCTTGTGATCATGTATAAATGATCAGGGGACTCGTATTCAGCATTTCTGTGTATTAGGAAAGCCTTTCAGGGCCTGAGCTGTGAGGTTCGTGTCTGCTTACAATGTGACTTTTTTTAATAGCTTTCAAAATACCAATTCTGTCTTGACAGTGTTTGTTGTAGGTGGTTGTACAGGTAAAAGACGTGATGGCAAAGGTGTCTCTTTCTCATAAATAGTAAATTACGTGATGATATTGAGTTTGGACTTATTACAGATATCAGCTAAAAATAGTGAACTGTCAGAACAGCTTTAAAATGTTGAAGCATCAATGGCATTATCCATATGACTTAAATTACTTTTCCCAATGGAGAATAAGCATGGAAATGTGTTCAAATCTTCTCTCTATCTCTGATGAGCTGGCTCATCAAAGACTTTCTAATTGGGCATTTAACCTAGTTTTCCTTTTCTGTATCACCCACCCTTAGCTATTTTCCAGAAATCAGGGGCTTTGCTAATAGTGGAAGCCAATGAGGCCCCATCAGGGAATACCTGTGTGGTGTAGACTGCTCAGTGGAAGAGCAAAAGGTGATTGCATGAAGTGTTAGGTCTGGCACTCAAACAAGAAGAGCGAAAAAATGGGTTGCCATTCAGAAGAATTTGTCCTCTGGGCTCTTGTAAACTGCCACAATAAAACCATACTCAGTGAATGCTTAATCCAATTTATTAAGTGGAGATTAAAAGTGACTTTAGCTTGCGTGTCAGAAAGATGATGGATGAAAACCTCTTATCTGTGCATTTGCTCAGTAAACTCTACTGAGGTGCAGGCAGAGGTTAGAATATAGTGTGCTAATTTCACTATAAAGCAAATCCATTACACATCTGAATCTAACAAAATATTTTTTCTTAGTAAACTCTACTGTGGTTCTTACTGAAAACAATGCTCAATATTTTTAACAATGGTTTGTGTGTAGGTATAGAATTCTATAACTGACCAACAAATATTGAAACTCACTTATTTATAAGTTTCCTTATCAGACTGAGGAAAAAATTCCATTCATCTGCCATTTTATTTCTCTGAGCTCTGTTAACTTGTTCCACACTCATGTTATGGTGAGGTTTACATTCAGAGAAGCTTTGCATCCTCTTTAATATTGAGGTTTCCACCTGCACTTTCTGCACTATCTCAGCTTCTTACTTGTTGGACAGGTGTGGTTTCTGGCTACCGCTGCAAGCTGTTATTTCTGTTACTGGTGCAGAGGCAGTGAAATACCACAGCTGCCCCTCTGTCACATCAGTTGCATTTTGTGACTGAGTTATAAAGCTATAGCTGTTGAGGACCTTTTTTCTGCTTCTGTCTAAAGTTGCTGGCGTAGCATGTAGAGTCTCTCAGGGTTCAACCCCAGGCATATTCAGATCTTAAAGACTCAATGAAAGTATTGTGAGTTTAATAAAACAGGTTAGCTGTTCAGTGAAACGTTGTTTCCTGTGTGTTTTTGTATCTTACCTCACATTTTTTTAGGAATACTCCATACTTGTTTGGTTCAGAGAGATTTCTGCTAATCTTTCTATGACCCTTTTTGTCATAGAATCATAGAATTCTTGGAGTTGAAAGGAAGATTTAAAGGTCGTTTAGTCTACCGCCCCTGCAGTGCACAGGAACATGCACAGCTAGGTCAGGTTGCCCAGGACCTGATCCAGCCTCGCCTCAAAAGTATCCAGGGATGGGGCATCAACCACATCACTCTGCAACCTGTTTCAGTGCCTCACCACCCTCACTGTAGAAGATTTTTTTTCCCCTTTATCTATTCTAAATCTACCCTCTTCAAGCTTGAATCCATTTCCCCTTTTTCTGTCACTGCAGATCCTGCTAAAGACTCTTCCCTTCTTTCCACTACCTCCCTTTAGATACTGAAAGGCCACTATCAGGTCACCTCTCAGCCCTTCTCCAGGCTGAACAGCCCCAGTCCTCAGCCTGTCCTTGTAGAAGAGGTATTCCAACCCTTGGATCATTTTCGTGTCCCTCCTATGGACACACTTCAAGTCCATGTCTCTCCTGTACTGAGGATTCCGCATCTGGATGCAGAGGGGCAGGATCACCTCCTTCACCCTGCTGGCCACACTGCTTTGGATGCAGCCCAGGGTATGTTTGGCTTTCTGGGCTGCGAGGGCATGTTGCTGGTTCGTGTCCAGCTTCCCCTTTTATATAGTGATAAAGCTGATAAATAAAAGGTAACAAGTCTCTATGGGAAGTACTTAAAAACTGAATCTCCTCATCCATGCTGCTGTGCTGGTACTGGTCCCATTGGAACATGCTGCTTCCTTAAAAAGTGTGCCTTTTACTCCAGAAATAAAAATATCAGAATAAATTGAATGAGAATGATGAAAGAAAGGATTTCCTTTAGCATAGAACTTGGGGGTAGATGAGGAGTAGATACAGACAAAGCTAAAGTGTTACTATTTGTGTAGACATTGTTCTGATGTTTACGTACATGTTAACTTAGGGCTAAGTCATTTTTCTTCAGTAAGAATATTTTGAAGACTAAACATGTTGAGGTATTCCTGTACTGTTTCCGCCAGAAATCAGTTTTGATTGTGTTTTACAAAATGGCTTCTTTTTGCAATACTTTCATTTTTTTTTATATCAGTCACTGTGGCTCCTGCTATTCCATACATCTTCTAGGTACAGGTGGTATGGAAGGCATCAATTTCATGTTCCAGGAGAGAATGTATTAAGGAAACTGACAAGTACACTAGAAATACTGTAATACCTGTTGGAAATACAGCCTTGTATTCCTAGATAACCTATTTGCATGAAGTTATTGGCAACCAGAATTTCCATAGTTCTGTACTTACTCAGCAGCCTGTTATAAAGTTTCTGTGGACAGTCAT